GGGGGAAGGTGGGAAGGATACGCAACCGGGCAGCTGTGGGTTCGCAACTGCATCTGCGCTGAATACGTCACGCCAAACGTTTGCTAGGATCATCCACGCTGGATTTGTATAAGATTAACTTTCTAGCAAATGGCTGCTATTTTTGTGAGGGTCAATAACGGATTCGGTCAGATGCATGGCAGTGCAGTACTTTTGGCGCAGCTATAATCCAGTTTGTTGTTCAGGAGCCAGAGTACTTCTTCCTTCAAAGCTCAGTCGGATTCTCTCGAGAGTTAGAATTCCATATTTTCGACGTTTGTACTATGTGAGCTTAAATGCAGATGTTGCGATATTTGTTATTGCCGTCATTTCTGCATGGTATATTGCTGCAATTCATCCTCACTTGCTGTTTGTCAGCAGGGAAAGCTTATCGGCATCATCCAGTGCACGATTTTTTCTGGAATTCGTCGAATCCTGTGTAAGCTTATTTCCAAATTTACCGCCCCGGAAAGCAACTAGTTCCTGCTTTATCCAGCATGCCCTCACAATAAAGGAGTTCTACGATGTAGTGTGTGTAGTATCAGTGAAACGACAAACTCTTTTGCTGAACGAATTTATGGTCTCTTGTAGGACAATATGCACACGACTAACCGTGCATGAGCTTACCCATTTCTTTTCGTTTTAAAATTGAGGTGGATTGCTTATTGCAATCCCTTACCAATATTTCCTTCTCTCCTTTCTTCCTCCTTCCCCCGCCTTCACTCCTCACAGGAGTTCCAAGTAACATTTTCAGCTAATTAAAAAAACATTAACCTCCTCACCCGCTTGAGTGCCGCATTCCTTACCATTCCCATTTTCACGCTTTTTGTGCTGCATTAAAACACGTAAGAGACAAGCCAAGTTCGGAGGCGTGCGCAACTGTCTCTCCCTCTGGATATTTTAACATAGCGAACTAAGGTAATGGAAGCTGGAATATCGTGAAAAAAATATCCTCGACGTGAACATGGCCTCAGAAATGAGACCAACTTTCAGGTCGTTCCGGACTGAACTTTAAATTCATCAAATTACATAACTCGAAAAAGAGCTAGCTGCAACCTTGATACTCCGTGAATGTTTTCGATCGTTTGTGAGGTAAAAAGCCTGAAACCAACTATCAGTTTCGTCAGGAGAAAACATCCTCCTTCATGTTTTCTTCTTTCCTTCCAGAAATAGCGCCTGCTTCCTTGCTTTGTCTCCGCACTGCTGAATATTGCACTTTCTGCTTTTTGTTACTAAATTTAAAGTTTTTGCACTCATTGTTTTCGATACTGTTTATCATTCATCAGCTGACTTCAGTATTTTTCGGTCAAATTTTAAGCACCTTTACTGAAACAGCGCTTGCCCTTCTCTAGCTACACTTTCTAGGGATAGATTTTGCACTATTAAAGTCATGGTTCTCTTCAGCCTCGCTTACTACATTTCAACTTTTTCTGATTTTGTTGAACTGTTTAAAATATTTCGTAATGAACTTCTGCTTTGAAATATCTTTTTGCAGATTCGGCGTGCAAACCACTCCGTTTCTAAATGTTCATTTACTGGATACGATAGTTATCCACTGCCCGCGCCAGTCCATTCAGCATTTCAGGAATTTTACCAGCGAGCAGTCAACTCTTTATTTGGTAATTGTTAATTTTCCGCGGAAAGCTAATCGTGTAAAGCCGAGGGGCTTTTAAAGTGAAAAGAAGCCCGATCTAGTTTAAAGCCATGAACGCAGCCAATCTTTGCTACTAGCCACTTGCAGTTTGTTATTTGCAGGTGTCAAAAGCAAGTTTTGATAGCTGCCAGCTAGACAGTACCTCCAGATTACTGGGCTACTGCGACCAGATGAATAACGGCGGAACAATACAACTGACGCCAAAGCGACACGGCTCGAAATTCGGCAGATTCGTCCCTGGCAGAAATTATTTCATTATAAGTCTGCGTTGAATCTTCTACCAAAAATTCTGATAAACTTTGTAGAAATTTGGTTGATCAGAACACTCCCTATTTTTCATTTAAAAGTCTTAGTTATGCTACAGAATTTAGAACGCCGCATTTCATACATTATTTGAAGCACAAAAATCAAAACTCCTTCAATAATCACTCTCTATGAAAAGCCGACGCACTTCGAAACAGTACGAGTGGTAGCACTTTCCAAGCAGCAATTTTGCACATGGTTCTTGCTTCAGAGGGTTATTTAGATAAGCTGTTAGTCCCCTGAAATATTTCAATAGCAGTTTCCCATTGAAATTGAATGAACGAATCAAAAACCAGCCATTTTCCTAGCTGTCGAGTCAAATCCTCGATCTCTAGCATCAGAGGAATACTACTTACATCTTGACAACAATGTTTGGAACTTTAAAATAATACTTTTTTCCAGCAACATCAACAGGTAAAACAGCAGGTATATATCAGAGGCAAGGTGGCTTGTGTGTCACCAAAAATATGCGATTAAAAATTCACATTTTAAAGGTAACTTTCATTACTTTTACTCAGGAGAGAATCCACTGTGAACATGCGGCCAAGCTAAATCCGATTTCGCAACAGTTTAGCAGGCCAAAACTCTTTTCATGCCCATTTGTTGGCGGTCAGGAAAATTATGGATCTCCCGCTGACGACCGAATGTGTTGAATTCGGTAGTGTCGGAAGCGAGCTAAATGGATAGGTTGCGGGTTGCATCAGGATAGAAAAAGCGAAATAGCGATTTAGCATTATTCAAGATTCGATATAAAATTTAGGTATAATATGATTTTATTGGTACACAAGTGATAAATTGTTCAGTTTTCCACTCTCTCGCTGTTTTACTTTTACTTTATTAAAGCGAATCCAGAGACGACTAGCCTACATAAATTACTATTCGTGTCGCGGTGCACCACCTGAACTAATGATGGGGCGGAAGCTCGTATACTGAGTGACTTTAGTGATAAAATTTGCAGGAACCATTTAAAACAATGAAGCCAGTGAAATTTTGGATGGACAGTCCGAGTAACGACGTTGATTCGATTACGTCAAGTAATTTTTATGCGTTTTTGCATCATTTGTGCAAAAAAAAAAAGCTCATTACGCGAACATTTGTGTGTGTATGTGTGTATGCGGGTGTGTTGCGTGTTTATATATATATATATATGCATCAGATAAAAAGTGTGGAAAAGTGAACAATTCTAGCTGAAGCGGCACCAGATTTATTCAGCGCACTGTAAAAGTTATATGAGCTCGAAACTTAATCAGTGAAGCGAACTTTAACTAAAAATCGCGTGAAAATTACCCAGTACTAACGAAAAATTAGCCAAATAGGTTAGCAAAATATACTGGAGCAGTGTTCTCAAAAAGACTGCAAAATTTCTCAGCGAAAACTATGAAATCCAGTTATAGGAGCATGAAAACTAGCAGGTATTTGTTCAAATGACAAGACCGTCTAGGCAGTCAGTGCGAGTGTCACACATTATTGGTATTACTAAGATGCCCCTGTACGTTAGGGACGTTATACCGGACCTTCAGTCCCATGCTGTATACCCCAGCAAATTAATTCCCATTGTCTATTTGACGTATGTGCGCCACTTCTTGAGAGGCCATTTGAGTTGATCGCTTATTTCCTTGCGCTATTAATCAGCGATACGCTAAATCTACTGCCTGCCAACAAAGCAGGCAAACGGCGATATTGCAAGGCGGAAAGATATACATGTACATTAGAAATAACAGAACGCTTTAGAACAGATTGACATTTGCTCAAAGACAGGACAAAAGATGATGGATTCCGGTTGCGGGCGCGCCCAGACGGGTAGAAATAGCGAAAAACCAGGAAGTGCATCAAAACTGTCTGATAACAGCAAGGCAAACTCCGTATTTCACTGCCTCTGTGAGTGGTGACATGCGGAAGTAATTTGGTGTGCAGCGGTAATTTTGCAGATGACGAGAATCAAAAAAACGACGATATACTATTTATGACCGAAGAATTTAATGAATTAACCTGGAAGAAGAAGCTTCGAGACCCGAGGATACCAAAACTTGAGCAGCAGCAATTTGGCTTACCACCTCCATCAATCGTTGGTAAATTATGGTCTAAAAGCTGTTTATTTTTTTTTTTTTAAATTTCAAGATGTTTTTCCGAAGTTTTTCATAAAAAACGATCAAAGCCAATCTCAAAGCATGAAGAATTTAAGACCGATTTTCACAACTGTTTCCGTGAATGTAGTCCCGCACTGTCTACCAGAACCCACTTTGGGCACAGACAGTTTATTAAAAATGACCTTTTTATGTAAACCATGGAAAAATACGAGTTTCTCAAATAGGCATTGTGATTATATCAGCTAGGTAATTTACTGGCATGTTTTGCTCGTCTAATTACCGATGTTTTTTTGTCCACGGGGCTTGTTTCAAACAGTTTGATGTGTCAAGGTGACACCCTAATCTAGGATGTTATTATTGTATTTTGTTGTAAAATATAAAACTTTTTCAGCGTCATCAAAGAATCGGGTTTTCCGCAAATTCCCTTTAATCCGTAAAATAGAGGACGATAATCAACCAGTCCCATTTCTGAGACGACACCACGGAATGCGACGTCGGCCGAAAACTTCCAGAATGCATGACAACGTCGATGGCGGAAAAAGTAACGAGCGCAGCCTTGATGCTGACAAAAGTATGGAAATCGTACCAAGATATCGCAAACTTCGACGCAAAAGTGGACGATTTGTGGACTCCAGACGACACTTCTGGTCTCCGAAACAGTTCCACGCAGAATCAGTGACCGATGAAGTGGAGAGCAACCCGAATGCTGTCTGGGTGAACGACATCACTAGCAAGGTGGCACATACTGAAACGCTAGGCGACAGTAACATTTCCGTGTTTGCAGAAAAAAAAATTTGATTTGAGCTCCCTTCGTTGTTTTTGCATTTTCAAACCCGTAAAGTTATAGAGTTATTAATTATGACATATACAAAAATATAAAATTATCGAAAAATTACATGAACAGAAATGTTTCGGTCTATCAAACTTATGTGGTGTGCCTCATTTGATTGAGACACTATGCACTAGGATAAGTTGGCGCAGTGGAAGGCATCAGTAAGCCGCCCAGCAAACCTTACAAGGCAACTGACTGACTGATAATGATTCTTCATTTAAAGTACAACAAAAGGTAATTCCATCTGAAAAACCTCCTGTACGGTGAACCTCAACAGTCTTGATTATCTATGATTTCATCTCTTCAGGTGCACCTGATTCGCTTGGATGAATCTTACAGGTCCGGGGAAAGCATGGGGAAGGGAAAGGAGAACTCAGAAGAGTCAACGCCGCTGGGTAGACTGATGTTCTATGACCGACCCACTGATGGTATGCTCTTCAACAATATGTTATGCGGATGTCTGTATTTAAATCAGTTCTGGGGTACAATTTTAATAATTGGCCAACGCACGGGCTGCCCGTGCGAAGGTGCGTTTTTTGCATGGTTCCCCGCAGTTTTTA